CCTGGGCCAGCTCCGGCTTTCGACACGGCGCAGCCGAGCCGAGGCATATGCGATCGGCTCGAATGAGCCGCTCGGCCGTGATTGGGAGCTGTACGGGCTATTGTGAATAGCCCGTACAGCACCCCCTCGGTTCTCCTGAACCGAAGGGGTCCTGGGGCCGAAGCTAGCCGAAGGATCGGCCGAAGCTACGGCCAGATCCTTCGGCAGCTTTGTGAATAGACCCCTATGTTTGGGTGCATCAGCCTACATTTCAGGTTGTTTGTATGGGCCATAGGAGCTCAAACAGGTGCTTTTGTCAGGATGGACATTTGGAAGATGGCTGTCTTCACCACACAGAAACTTGATGCCCTGGTATAATTCTCCCTGAGCCAAATTGAAACACTGTTCCACACTGCAGAGCAAGTGATTGAAAGGAGGTAGGATAATATAAGATTGCTTTCCCTAGGAATGATGATGCAGATGCACCTATGCTAATGCTCCTTTGTCAGGTTGGTAACCTCCACTCTTATTTCCCTTATCCAACTTGACAGGTACAAACTCTTACACTCCTATCATTTGTTTAAATAACATCCAACAGTGGGGGCCATCAGCCGTATGTGAGTGGACATGTGTTGAAGGAGCCCTCCCGCATTTCATCATGAACGTTACCTGCCGGGCTTTCCTGTACCCGTCTCTCCTGCACTAGCCGCCTGCCTAGGTATTGCTGACACCCGCACTCCGTTTTCTGGCCATTTGCTTCCATATTGTGGCTGGGGGATGTCGAAGAAGAAGGAAGGCAAGGGCCTCCCTCCCACCCCTAGCAAGCAGACAGGGAACAGGGGCAGAGATACAGCAGCGCGGGTGGAACGCTTTGTCCGCCACCCTGACACCCCTGCTAAGATGCAGAGGCTCTCCTACTCAGCAGACCAGGCCTCCCACAGGGAGCAGATGCTGGACCCACTGCATTCCTCAGCCTCTTATTCAGACGGGCCGGACACCATCTTGGCCACACTGAGTACAGCTCCTAAGCCCAGTAAGGGCCCCAAAACGCCTAAAGCCAAGCCAGCTGAACCCACTATTGCTGTCGTCCTCTTGGCTGTACAGCTCTGTAACTCCACATTAACCTCTCTCACAGGGGAGGTGCATGGGACGAGAGCTGATATCACCTTTATACGCCATGATTTACAGAAAGTGAGGGAACGCACCTCTGCCCTGGAAAGCAGGGTTAGTGATCTGGAGGACTTTACCTCTCCCCTGATCGCTGATGTTAAAACGGCATTGCATGACATATCTGCAAATACGTTGAAAAATTATGACATTGAAAACCGGCTACAGCGCAATAACATCCGTGCTGTCGGTGTACCAGAGCGAACGGAAGGGGCCAATGCTACTGATTTTATTGAATCCTGGTTGTGCGAAGTCTTTGGGAAAGATTACCTGTCCCCGCTATTTGCTGTGGAAAGGGCCCACAGGGTTCCATCTTGTCCCCTGCCACCGGGAAACCCGCCTAGACCCCTGCTGATCCAGCTGCTGAAGGAGCGTATCCTGCGGAAGGTGCGTGATCTTGGAGAGATCTCTCTGGCTGGCTCTAAGTTTATGCTGTTTCCAGATTTCTCCCAGGAGGTGCAACGGCGCAGAGCGAAATTCCATGAGGTTAAGAAGCGTCTCCAGCACTTACACTTGACCTACTCCATGCTTTAACCAGCGTGGCTTTGCGTGGTCGCTAATGGAGAAACACAGTTTTTTTATATTCCTTCTACGTGGCTGGATACGTTTGACCGACGCCGGGCTTCCTCTAACACCTGAACACTCGGATTGGCCTCCCCCCCTGAGCCTGTTGCTTTGATCCATGGTACGGATGCCTGACTGTACCTACTGTCACGTGGCCTGGAACTCCCCGTCTCTCTATTGTTGGTGCCACAGCACTGGAAGGAGTCCCTATGTTTTTTTCGTTCTGGGATACCTCCAGTGATACGGACTGTTGCCGCCTTACCAGGAAGGCTTCCCCGCGTGGACGTTGTTACTACAGTTTTTGGTTTACTGTTTCAATTTCACCTGATTTTTATTTTTCTGTTTTTGTTTTATGCCCAACCCCTTTTCGACAAGCTCCACTGTGTCCAGCCGCACCTTCCAGCTGTTTACATGCCTGGCCTTATTGTCATGTGACATATCTTGCCTATGTCTGAGCACTTAGTAACGCTGGTCTCCTGGAATGTGAGAGGCCTGGGAGATGCTGCAAAGCGTTGCTCTGTTTTTGACTGTGCC